ACCTTTGAAAGCACTTAATTTAAAATCATTAGGCATTTAAAAGTAGTAAAAATGCACTAAATTGCGAATCCAGTTATTTTCACGTCTACATTCTTAAGGACTGAGCCGAGAGTGGGGAGATCTGAGGCGGGGCTTAAGGAAAAAGGAAAAAGTGCGCATAGAGTGGAAGGGATTGAGAACCCAAAAAAAAAATGTAGTAACATGTTTCCTTCCAAATGTAGTAAGAATTATGAGCAGCATAAAATAGCACAGTATAATATTTAACTTATGTACTTAGTTACGTTTCCAACACCGCGTTGTGTATATCCAGGATAATTCAACATGATATGTCCAGATTGATGAATGCATGTATGTTTTGCTTATGAGTATGTGTGTAATGGCCTCCCCTCTCTCCTCCCCTGCTGAGCGTAAAAAATCATCCGACCCACCATGCCGCGCGTGGCTGCCAGCACAAGGGGTGTCCATCCCCATGCCCCCCATGGACGTGCTCCGCATCGGAGAGCAGATGCAGTACAAAGCCGAAGAGAAACTCTACCTCGTCCTCTTCCTTCGACAAACAAGCCGCAGCGGTGAAGTGCCGCCGTCACCAAGGGATGATTTAAGCTCACTGCTGCTCTCCCGCCAGGGAAAAGCTGTCAACGTGTCGCAGGCCCATCAATTATTCTCTCGTGGCCCGGTCTCCATTATTTGTCGAGAGACACAAATGGCTCCGGGGAATAAAGTCACCTGGATTCTCCTGAATGTTTTTCAATCTTTAACACCATGTTTTTTATCTGCTACTGAGAATATTCCACATCTAAGAGGAACAGTCTCTTAAAGCCAATGTTTACCTACGCTTTTTTTTGGTTTAGTCAACAGTTCAAACCCAAAAAAAAAAAACTGTATATCCTCACATTGAAAAGCCTTTGAATCTGCAAGTGTTAGTTGCACTACTAAGTGACATGTCGATGCTTTCCGGTATTACCCGTCCTTGTGTGTTGTTGAAGTTTTTCTGGCATGTAAACGGTGTGGCAGAGTCAAAACCCTTAAAGTAACCCTGTAGCGAGTAAAACTCTAACACAGAAAATACCTCCCAAACGCCTCGTGGTGAAACGTCATCATCCTTTGATTCTTCCGGGTACGTGCTACGAAAGCACGTACCCGGAACTAAAGGGCCAATCCGTGGCAGTCCGTTAACGTTAAGCCCCCGCTGATGGTCCAAATTGACCAATCCACACAACACACTCAGTGCAGGCAGCTTGCTGATCTCTCTTCCCTGGCTGCAGCGCTGATAACAGACAGTTGGGGATCGCGGCGAAATTTCTCTCTGCAGACGCCATTCTCACAGCGTTTATCAACCTTTCTTACTACTCAATATCAAGGCCACACTTATTGGTTTACTTCGGCTGTGACTTTGTGTGTTCTCGCGGTGAGTTTGGCTGGTGTTTCGCTGTGTATCGCTAAACAAGAAAATCACACCTCCACGGAAGCTCAGCGCGATTCACCAACGTACGTCCGACCGAATCAGAGCAGCACTGGGCTCACAGGGAGGGGGGGGGG